AAGGGTCTGATTTTTATTCACTGAATTTCTGGTATTAATTTTATAAATTCAGGGCCTGATGCTGCACTGGTGTAAATCAGCATAGCACCAATTACTTCAACAGAGTTACACTGCTTGACTGCCGAGAATCTGGTTCACACAGATTTAAAACAGGAGTAATTTCAGTGATGTCAAGAGAAGTATAACAGAGCAAACCATGCTATAAGGTAAATGATCTTTGAAAATTGAAGAGACACGGGATTGTTGGGCATATTATTTCTGAGAAAAGAAATTAAAAGACAAGGACTTTTTGTTGTTGTTGAAGGGTATAATTGTTAGTTCCACTAGCAAAGACTTAAATGTTTTCCTACTGATTCAGAAAGATTTAGTTTTATGACATCTTGGGGCTCTTGCTGACAAAGTATGTAATTATGCAGCATATATTATGTAGGAAAGCAGCTCTGCCCTGGGCTTCCTGGAATCATCCGCTGATCTGTTTCAGCAGCGGCTGAATCGGGGACCCCTGGGGCAGAGCAGCTGGGGTCCTGCCGGGTTGGTCCCGCAGCCCCGAGGGGCGGCGCTACAAGACCAACCCGGCAGCACCCCAGCTGCTCTGCTCCCGGCTTCCCCGATTCAGATGCTGGTCAGTTTCAGCAGCAGCTGAATGGGGGAAGCCTGTCTGGCTGCCCCAGCACTTCCGGGTTCCTGATGGTGCCGAACCATCAGGAGTCCCGGAGCACTGGATGCCGGACTAATGGAGTTTTACTGTAAATCCTTGGTCTGAAATGAGTAGTTGAACAGTTTTGTTTAGAAAATCTTGTAATAAAATGATTTTTGAAAAGTCAAAATGTTGTAAGTTTTTTTTCATGGCCAAAACTATTTGCTGAGTTTGACTCAAATTTATGGATAATTTTGGTTAATCAAAAATCATATATACTATTCATCTAAAAAGTCCTGCCCACTTCTATTCCTGACTCCTAGCTACCTGTTCGAACCACTAGATCTGAACAATAGAATAGCCCACACTCATAAGCACAACCTTTTAAGATGCTCGGGGAGCATCTATACTACACCTGATGTTCAAAATAAGTTATGCAATTTAAGCTATGCAAATTGCGTAGATTATTTCAAGTTAATTTTTAAATAACTTATTTCGAAATTTGGCACTGTCTGTACAATACTTATTTCAGAATAAATCACTATTCCAAAACGTCTCCTTGTGCAATGAGGTTTACAGGGACATTGGAATAGCGAGCCCGTTATATTTTGAAATAACGAGCACGCTCAAAAGATATGAAATAGCTATTTCAGGATACTGGAAGTATCCCAAAATAGCACGATAGTGTGGACGTAGCCCAAAAGCCTGTAATTTAGTCATGTAAGTTATGCATGTTGTTAAAACTGATGTTGTAAAAGAGTGTTTTTGCTGGATACTAAATAGTAAAGCAGGTTAAGAGGGATAAATTTATTAAAAATGATGGGCAAGTTTTTCTGCCTGCTTAGCATTTTTTTCAAATATGCAATTTCAGATACCCAGAAAATAACTGAATTGCTAAAGGGTTTTTTTTTAGCATAGATATGAAGCAAGTGATGAAAATGTTCTCATCTTGTACAAATTCTTAAAGCAACAGTGGATTTAGATGCTAAAAAATCATATTACAGTAAGTGAGAGCAACATGCTTAAAACACTGCACTCTACTTAGAAAATCTACATCTCAGTTACTGACTGACAGAAAAATGCAGGATGGCAAGGCATTTCCAATGATTCATTTATACAACAATGTGAACAAAAACCGTGTCTACTGTGACACTGCATTCATTAAATATAAAAAAGGGCATGTCGGAAAGTTTCTTGCAATTTCTGATTTCAAGACATGCTTTTATTACTTTTTCCATTTTTTTTCAGTCACAGGTTATTAGATTCACTGCAGCTTTAGAAGGTATAACACATTAGTATCTGTCAGATATGCTTCTGCTAATGACTTTCTTAGCTTGCTCAAGTAAAAGTACCATGCACTGATATCCATCAAGTGAACACAACCTTTTACCTATTCATTTGTCTTGGGAATGAAGAACTCCATGTTTTCACTACTGTTGAGTAAAAGCTTAGTGAAATCTAAAGTGTCCAGTGCACCAGGAAAATTGTTCAACTGCGTTTCTCTTGACATTAAAAACATCCAGACCCATCAAAACAAAATTTTGGCCGAGCATCCCTTCAACAGATAAAATATATTTACCATCAACTAGAAGGTCCAGTTTCTTCTCTGTAACATAATAGAGGTCAAACCTCTCTAGTCTGACACCCTCAGGAACTGACTGGTGTTGAACCAAAGAATTTGCCAAACCATGGGAGGTCAATATGGTAGTGAGTAGGTCTCTATTTTTATTTCACCAAGATGAATAAATGGAACAGCACTTGCAATGTTGCTTACTAATGAACGACTGTACTGATACACCATATATAAGCCTATGCCTAGCTAAGGTTTATTAGCTCTGGGTATGTCTACACTACCCTCCTAATTCGAACTAGGAGGGTAATGTAGGCATACCGCACTTGCAAATGAAGCCCGGGATTTGAATTTCCCGGGCTTCATTTGCATAAGCTGGGTGCCGCCATTTTTAAATCCCGGCTAGTTCGAACCCCGTGCCGCGTGGCTACACGCGGCACAGAGTAGCTAGTTTGGATTAGGCTTCCTAATCCGCACTAGCTGTACTCCTCATTCCATGAGGAGTACAGCTAGTTCGGATTAGAAGACTAATCCGAACTAGCTACTCCGTGCCGCGTGTAGCTGCGAGGCACAGGGTTCGAACTAGCCGGGATTTAAAAATGGCGGCGCCCGGCTTATGCAAATGAAGCCCGGGAAATTCAAATCCCGGGCTTCATTTGCAAGTGCGGTATGCCTACATTACCCCGCTAGTTCGAACTAGTGTAGACATACCCTCTCTTCCTAACAAAGTGTTAGTGTTATACAATTTTACTGTATTGGCACATGGAAATAAGTAGGTAAAGAGTAAAAACATGCTTATGTTTAGCAGGATTACCAGCACTACCACTGCTTTCTGGGCCCTTAGAAGGCATTTAGAATTAGTTTAGAGATAAATAAAAGCACAGAATACTGAGAGCCAGGGCTAGTAAACAACCTTTATGGGACTGTGGGAAACTTGGCCACACCCATGATAAACGGACAGCCGACTAAAATCATACCAGACCATGGATGTTGTGAGACCAGAGAATGCCGTTCTAAAGAGGTTCAAACTGTACAATGTAAATATGTGCAACATACAAAACATATTGCAAGCTACTAATTTTGCAAGGCCAAATCAGACTGTTGAGTAGAGTGGAGTTACTCTGGCTTACATTAATGCAACTGAAAGCATAATTTGGCTCAAATTGTAAAGCATATCTGGTGTTAGAAAGCCAATTTAGAGAACTGGAATGTGAAATACACTAGATAAAATTTATCATGTATTGCTTGAGATATGTAGGACTTGGCTACAGCAGTACTTGCTTGAGCAAGATATGTATGGTCCAGTAGAATGATTCTTTTATTTCTTTTCAGTGCAATTTATTTTACTACCTGTTTAATACTTGTCATTCTTTGTAAGAAAAAAACCCAAGTCAATTTAAATCTTGTTCCATGAAGATTTGCTATTTCACCAAAAGTAATTTCTTGTTACTTACTAGTAGGGATAAAAATTTTCACAATGGGTCTGATTCAAAGTTAACTGTAGTCATTCTATAGACTTAAATACACTATGTATCAGGCTCTTTAGTGGTAGGAATTGCAAGGAATATTTATTTTTTGAAAGGGAATTTGTATTTGTAGATACTAATTGGTCGGAAAGTTGAAATTCAGTGATATAGTCCAAGGTACGTGGGGTGTTCTAGTGTGCTGAGATGAAGGTACAGAAGATACCTTGTTATTATCAAATGTTATAGCAGTGATTTAATTTTTTCATAATACAGCAAGAAAATGAACTCTGAGTTCTGTCTGTATGTTTCATTTACTGGTGTCCTTTATGTCTGACACATGATTCTCCATCTTAAAGACATGAAAAATAAAAAATAAAAGCATGAAAAATGACAAAAAATAGGCTAGCCTGGATACCTACGTCACAGAGGGCTATAAAGGACAATGTAGACAAATGAAATATCTCTGTGAGGTAAACGTAACAGAAATATAGTTAATAGATAAGGAATAAATTCTGGTCTCAGCTGCACCAGTATACACGGGCAATAACTGCATAGATTTAACACAATTACATAGTGTAAAATCAGTGGGAGATCAGAATCAGGCCCAAAACGTATTCTCTATCCTTACAGATAATTTAGCAGAATTAAAATACCTCTCAAAAGCCATCACAATAAAGGCCAGACTCACAACTGCATTACTCATATAAATTAGGAAAATTAGGTTTAGATGAAATTATTTAGTGTGGGTGCACAACTGGTTGAAAGAGCACTCTCCTGTTATTCTTATCAATGATTTGCAGGCAAGTGGAGTGGATTTATCTAGTGAGGTCCTGCAAAGTTGTGCTATGGGTCCAGTACTATTCAGTATTTTCACTAATCACTTAGGCCAGCAGTTTTCAAACTTTTTTTTTATTGTGACCCAGTTGAAGAAAATTGATGCCCATGACCCAACATAATTTGACTAGAGTGTGGGCTTTGGGGTAGGGCTGAGGATGACAGCTTTGGAGCGTAGGATGGGGCTCCAGTTTTGGAAGTGTCAGGGCTGAGGCAGGAGGGTCTTACTGTGAGCAGCTCCTGGTTAATGGCACACCCCAGAAGCATCCAACAAGGTCAGAATTTTGTGAGGAGAGGGGGCTAGCAGCCATGCACTCTGGGATGTGGCTTGCTTTACTTCCCATGCCCCAGATCCTAAGGGAGTGAGGGGAAAGTGCTTGCATTCCATGCATGCCTCTCACACTTAGATGTTGAAGGGAGCTCACCAGTCCATTGAACTTCCAAGGCTATTCATAACAACTGTATACATAGACACGGCCTGTTAATTTCTTACCAGCTCATTGCTGCAATCCTCATCAAAATCCTCCTCTATTCCATCAGTCATATCTTCTCCATCCCCATCTGCATCTGGCCCTACTTCAATTGGCTCTTCTGTAGAGTTATCTGCATTCTCTGATATGCATTCCTCTTGGATCAACTCAGCATGATCTTCCATTTGCTTCTTTTGAGCTTCTGTAAGGAAAGCATACTCTGTAGCAATTCAGCAACCTTTTCTGCTGCTTGGAATGAAAAGTGCTCTCAGGAAGACTTCATGCTCCTATTCTCCATATGGAGCTAGGTTTATGAAATATGGTATGTTAGTAACATCCAGGTAAATATTATCAATTTCCCTAAATTCTAAAATTACTAAATACATAATCTTCAAACACTGGCACACTTAGTCGATAAAATTGAATGGACCAAATACAATTATTGGTTCAAAAATATAGTTTTACACCAGTCTTGCAATATTCTGTACTTTGCTTATTGTGGGAACCCAGTTCACACAATCACTGTGCAGGTATGTATCAGTGTAAATTCCTGTGCTCTAACTTGCTGACTGAGGATAATGGTCAATAAGTGTCCAGGGATTTGAATGATCATGGTGTGATTACGTCTCTAAAGTATAGTTAAAGTCTACTAGTTGAACAGGCCCAATTACTAACAGCACCTCTCACTCTCTTCATTTCCATCATGTGCTGAGATAATGGCCTCTACTCTTGGCTCAAACTCATTGCTCTTTTCCATTCCTGCAAAAGTGGAATCAACATGAAGACCATTTTAAAGCCCCTAGGGCTCACGGAAGCTCCCCCTGCATGGTCCACCGTGATCAGTTCCGGTGTGGAACTTAAGTGATGGAGATGACCTTGTATTTGTCCTTTATACCTGGAAGAATTCCACCCAGGCAGGAGAAGGCCACAGCAGAGATGGGAGAGAATTGACAAAATGGCTTATAGATTGGTTGGAGGAGCAGCAGAGCTGGAGTCTTAAAGGGCCACAGACTCATTCCAATGTACATCAGGAGCTCATAATTGAAACTTTTATGGAGAACAGCAGATTAGGGGACTATTTTCCTGTAGCTGGGATAGCAATATCATTTCAATCTCAAAGTGACAATACCTATTAGTGATGGAATCTTCAAAACAAAAGAAATATTTCTTTCTTTTCGATACTGACTGTTTTATATTACCCAGAAGCTCATCTCATATCTCATTAGGCAGTGAATGAATCTGAAATTGGCTGTGACATTACATATCTTTCAGATTTATGAATACATTATGGTTTTTACTTTAAATTATTACATGCCTTAGCTAGTACTAAACTCACGACACTATTCTGTATCAGAGTCACAAAGACCGCACTAGTTTCTCTTCTACATATATATTTGTTACATATCTTCACTCCTGCTAGCCTTTGACCACTTGCTGATTGTGCTTGCTAAGACTTGAGAGAAAAAATGGTTTTGTTTCCTTGCACCTTACATCTTTACAGAAAGAATCTTGGACTCAAAAATTAAGGACCATGATGGGTATCCTTCTTTGAAATCAATGTGCTTGTACAGATTGTTAGTGCAAAATGCACCCCACAGAGCCATATCTTAAACTATTCAATGTTTATCAATATAACAACTTCACAGTTATAAGCAGTGATGTTAGCACACACTACTGAATCAACCCAATGTCTGCTATGGCATTTGATTTAAGAGTCGTTTGGTACACACTTGTAGTGCAACTAACAAAAGGTAACCACTTAAAACCTTTTTTAATTTGCTTATGTCTTGATGCTACTCTTCCTCATTTCACAATCTAGTCTAAGGAGGAGAATTTCTTGAAAGGTTGGAAATTTTGCAAGACAAACTTTTTGAATAAGATATAAAGTAGCATGAACAAGCAGCATGAGCTCCTGCTCAGAATGGACAATGGGAATTGTAAACACAGACAGCAGCTAAAATGCAGTGGAAAATTTAATCCTTTTTATATGCAGCACAGTGCAGTCTGTCTCCCTGCCTTTATGAAAGTAATATTGAACTTTTCCTCTGCTTACTTATTGTAGTGTTTCAGCATTACAAACAGCATATATAAGATGCTGGAAAATGATAAAAATGTATTCTTAAATTTAACAAAAATCAATTGGATATATATGTATAAAAGAAGAACAGAACTTTATAAAATGAGTTGAACGCCAGTATATACACAATAAAAGAGACAGGAAAAACACATTTTGGTCAAGATTTTCAAGAATGCACGCTAAAGTTATGTTCTTGATATATTTTGATGAAATTATTCAGGGCTTAGCACTTTTGAAAATCAAGTCACTTTTTAAAGAGTCTAAGTATGAATTTATGCCTAGGATTTTTAATGATGTCCAAAGATTTAGGTGTCCAACTCCCATTAGAATGCATACCTAAAACTTTTAGGATCCTTGACAATCCACACCTCAGAATCTATGTTCCCCTCTAATCTTTTCCATCCACACGCAGAATAATTATTTTTCTGTGCACCAAGGCATATGTGAATGTGCATCATCAGTACAAACAAACAAACAATCTAGCTATGGATGCTCTGCTAATCAGCTGGGCAGTATTTAAATCTCTCCTGAGCAGTTGCACAAGTGCACAGCTTACAGGGAACGCTGCTTAGAACCTAGCATTAGGCACCCATTATTGAAAATTTGGTCATTGTATATACAGAAAAAAATATTCTCCCACTGACATCTTAGGGCTTAGGACACTGCAGGACAAAAGTTGAATTAAGAGATGTAACTTCAGCAATGTTAATTGCATAGTTGAAGTCAAAATAGCTCAATTCAGTTTCGGTGCCATCTACAGAGCAGGAAGTCAAAGGAAACTCTTCCTTCGACTTCCCTTACTTCTTGTGAAATGTGGGTTATAGGAGTCAGAGGAAGAAGTCCTCCATCTTGAAATTATTTCAAAATAACAGTTTGCTGTGTAGACACACACTTTGTTATTTCAAAAAAATGTCAGTTATTCCGAAATAACGCTGCTGTGTAGACATACCCTTACTGAACCAGAACAGCTAACCACTGCTCTGTTGTATCTTCCTGTTCCCAATTTCCACCGACAAATTAAACCCACCAAACATCCTAAAAATCCAGTTTTCCTCTGTATAAACTTTAGCTACTGAACAAGCAAAGTTATTTGTACTAGTAAAAAGATCCAGCTTTAAAAAACTTTCAAATAAGTATTATTTATTAGGGACACAATTTGCAGGCATCCGCAGTCTTAAAACACAACATTCATCACTTGTAGAGTTTGAGTTTCCAACCTGCACCCATAGCTGAGACAAAAGAAGCGTGAAGTACAATACATTGTTTCTTGGTTGAAAGACTACTGAATAAACACTTCCTTCTCTCTTACTCTATTTGTATTTAAAGTGAATCTAAAGCCCTTGTGTAAAAGGGAGCATAAACAGTGCACAACCATTAGGGACACAAACCCACAAGGCAATCTTTCACTCTCAGGTTCTCTTTTCTGCTATCATCCTATAAAAAATGCCAGAAATGGTGGCAATAAAGAAAAGAACACTAGCGAAAATTGTAAGGTGAGTTTCTCCCCCGAGCTTTTACTGGTTACTCAGAAAATAAGTTCAATAAAAACACTGAGTTCAGACTCTAATGTATCAGTCCCCAAAAAGGAGTAACTTCAAATCCTTAGAATAATAGCCTTCTGAATGTCAATGTATGTTCATGAAAAAAATTAAAAAATTGCAGCCAGATTAGTATGCTCTCACTCCCTGTTTCGTTTCTTCTTCTTTTTTCAAATTAAGTTATGCACCAGCTCGCATCCCCGCATGCAGCCAGGAGACACCATCTTTGTACTGGCTAGTTCTGCCTGGGACAAGGGAAGGAATTCTCTCATCAGACAACACAACAGCAGTGGAATCATTCTGCAGGTCTCTTGGTAGGATCCAAAAATCTTCCTCACCTCCTACCTTCCTGATAAAAGGAAGGGAGAGTAAGGGGACTAGATTTTCACTTCTGTCCTAAATACTGATTTTGATATTAATTATATCCATGTAAATCCAGAATAATTCCACAGAATTTAACAGAAAATCTAGATCACTGCATACATTTCCTATCTTCTTATTAAGAGACCTCTGTGAAGGATATTCATTTCAGTCCTTTGAGCTAATTTATATTTAAATGAATACATTACAATTCTTTTAGCAAAAGTGCAAACTGGTTCTCAAAGTCCAATGATGTGACTTATTTTGCATAATAATGGGTTTTATGTAAAAGCTCTCTAAAGTGGGGATATGCCATCTTAATTCATTTCTGTAGAACTAGTAATTCATTCGGGTTCAGTACAACTATACATTCCTTGAATATATTGCCAACTCTTATCTAATTTGCTTAACATTTTAATGAGACAAGGTGGGTGAGTTAATATTTTTTATTGGACCAATTTCTGTTGGTGAGAGAGACAAGCTTTCAAGCTTACACAGAACTCTTTATTGGGTCTGGGAATGGACTCAGAATGTCACTGCTGAGTACAAGGTGGAACAGATTGTTTAGCTGAAACAGTTAACACATATTTCACGGGATCAAGGTAACGTCGTCCATTAACACTTCTCCAGTCAAAGAGTGTGGGGTGAGATGGGGAATGTTTTATAGTTTCATGAATGTATGGTGGTTATAGATTCCATACAGACTATTATCCACCAATACTTACTATCAAGGTTCCCTGCAAACTGTGTGCATGCACGGGCACGCAGCCCTTTTCTGAGCCCCACGCAGAGGTTCAGAGCTCCCCACACAGGAAGGGAGCTCAGCTGATTGGTTGGAGAAGTAGAGGCAGGGAACCCTCGGTGGTGCAGAAGCTATAAATGGAGAAGCTGGCTCCAGCTTCTGCTCTAGGGCTGGGCAAAAGTTGATCTGCTGGCTGGATGCAGCTGCGAGAGCCTCAGCCAGCTCTCAGCCTGCTCGCACTTGCTCAGTGCTCCGGAAAATTGGGTGCAGGGCCACTTGTGTGTTTGTGAGTGCTGAGAGCCTGGAGGACAGAGACACAGGCTTCCCATACTGCCCCTGCCCCCAGTAGCTCCCATTGACTGGTTTCCACCAATAGCAGCTGCTTGTTTGTAGGTAGCATGTGAAGTGCACCCCTCCCTCATCCCCCTAGCTCACAGCATTCAGTTCAGAACAATAAACATGGCTCCTGCAGCTCCCCAGAGCACATACTGGGGCTGGAAAGCAGGGACCCTGGCTAAGGAACCTGCTAAGCTGCTGTCTGGGAACCAGGTAAGGTCTCCCAGCCACAGCCTCTCTCTAGCACTCTCTTCTGCCCCCCTATCCCATGTAATCCAAAGCTTCTGCACTCCTTCTCCAGCTGCCATATACCTTCCCAGACACTGCATCCCCTCCAACACCCCTTCTAAAGTCACAACTCCCTCTCAGTCCTTGCACCCCAATCCACTATCCCTGGTTGCAGTC